TGTAATTACGCCATGATCAGCAAAATAGCACAAAGGGAAGGAAGGAGGAACATTACATATTGTTCCGGTTGTCGCCGACTGTAAAGGTCAATGGGTATGTCAATGCAAGATTTCCAATAGTAAGGTTGAACAGTGTTACATGTACAATTTTGTTTGGTTCCTCTCTTCACGGGTAGATCCTCGGAACTGAGGAACGGGGAGAAGCCAAAGCCCTGTGCGCTGAAGATGCTCGATACTGTCAAGGGGGTGGGGGAGGGGGTCGGATTTGGCACGGCAGTCCAATCTCTACCAGTTGTTGTCGCTTGTCCCTTCTACAGTTGATGCGAACAGGCTGCCGCCGTGACAAACCCAGCCCCAACCCCTGAAAGGACGGCGGCTGAAAATTGAAGACCTCATCCGCGCCTCCGAAAACTGAAGCACTTCAGAAAGCTCATCTCGGTGTTCAAGGTGACCTAATCTAGAGCACGTAGAAAGGTAAGGAAAACTTCACAGTCCGACAATAAGGGTGGGGGGAAGATTTTGCATTAGAGCTGCTTCACTAGTTTTGGTTTACAAGTTTCACTCTGGTCGAAACTGTGAACTCTTGAAGCTAGAGGAGCTCGTCGCAAGCTCTTGAAATAGCTCTCTAGATGATGGCTGTACACGTCCATGGAAAGTAGCAAAATGCAAAATGCCCCCGTCCCCCTCCCCCGTCGCCGAACTGTCCCAAAAAAAGCTTTGCATGACACGTACAGGTTCAGGAACAGGATCAAAATGGGTAAGAAAATAATGGGTAAGAAAATAATAACCGACCTGTGCACAATGAAGCACTACTTCCGGTGCCATATGGAACTCAGCAACCATCATTTGTCGATGGGTCAACATTTCATGCTGACATTGTGGGGAAGGTATCTTGTCGTTACCCTTCAATAAATAGATCACTCAAGAAATACTTTTAAAAGTCAGTTATGGGGGTTGAAATAAAATCTTGTACAAAAATACCTTCGCATTGTGTGCACCGTTCTCTAAACACAATAGTATCCATGTCAAATGATAATGGGCAGCTGCTTCGTATTCGTCTTGAGGTTCGCATTTATATCTTGAACATCCAGAGTAATTGGACGAAAAACGAAGCAAAAAAACAACAAATTATAGATGCTACTGAGAAGTAGCAGAATAACACCGTCTACTTTAAAAGTCAGTTATGGGGGTTATCAAGGAATATGCAATAT